ATTGTCTGTTCACTTTTGACCAGAGGATAAATCTATCAAGATAATGTAAGATAAGTTGGCAGTTGTTCACTATTTACTGACGAGCGTGATAGACCGGTTCACGCATAAGTAACGGCAGCTTTGCCTGCAGTTGTTCCCCAGTGGCTATGGGGCAACTGCAATGCAGTCACTCATAAACAGAGAGTAAACAGCTGCCAATTGATTTGAAGACACCTCTAACAAGAGTTAACTGAAGCAAGTCTAAGATAGCCATTGATAATTCTTTGACTAGATTCCACGCTCCGAGGGAGAAGAAAGTTTGAAAGGAAAGGCATGGCGTTGAAATCATAAACAGAATGGGAGACTAACATACGCAGAGATGGTCGAAAGATTTAAAAAAGGTACAACCAAGTTACCTCGGCCAGTTTCTTTTCCATATCGCCTATTACAAAGTAACCTGGATCACCAACAAGCACCGGGGGAAAATCTGTGAGCGCAACTGAACAAGTGCGATGAAAACGTTCGGGCTGGATAAGGTGTAAATTTTTGATGGACCAGTCAGAAATAAAGCCACTTCCTGCAGTTCCTGTCTGTGGAAAGCAAAATTCAACTGATTATTAACCAAACTTTGTGACTAATCACGAGAACGAGACATGCAGGTAAACGTTGATAACAGTGATGATGATATTCTATGATGATGAGCACGATCAAGACCAATCTTTGAGCTTTGAGTGAGTCAGGCTTCAGCATGGATGAAGATGAAATGAATCACAACAGGTTAGGGGGGAGGGCAACATTGAGCCGCCATTTTAGATTCTAGTGACGCCATCAAATGAACTTCTAGAGGGTATACGAGAGCGAGAGACGGATGCGACCACCGTTATTTTATTTTTATTATTATTCTCCTCGCTCCTCCACTTCTCACTAAGTAAGTACTCACTTGTTGTTTCTCTTTCTTCATTCTTCATGTCATTATCATAGAAGAATAATAGAATAGCTATTAAATTAGTTTGGATTTGTTTTTTACGGTTGCAGCATGAAGATAAAAGATTCTGTGAATCAGGTAAATATTTTGTCTTTAAGGAACTGTGTGTGGTTTGTCCTGCATTTTAAGGTAATATATTCCAAGGTCCACCAAGTATCCCTTGCAAATCCCTCGTATTGAAAGAATCCCTATAAGTTCTTGCAGACACTAATTTCATTATGTACTCTATGTTCTTGTTATATTTGATGGTATTTCTGCACGAAACATTGGACGTGTTTATCCTGAAAGGAACAATGTGCAAAGGACTTAAATCCAAAGGAATCATGTTGCACTCAAACCCACCGTAGAAAGTTCCTTTTGATTTAAGTAATTTTTATATCGTTCCTATCAGCATTAATGAGGTCAAAATTTAGTACTGATGCCTTTCTAATTTACCCTTCAAGCACGTTCCATTCCTTCAAAATTTCAAGGCTTACACCAGTGACGGAAATCCAACAAAAAATAGGGCATTTAGCGGTTGGCTTTCACCGTAAATTATTTAGTAATTTCACAATTCCATAATTTTTCCGCTCACAATGAAACTGACAAAGTCATATATTATCACTAACAATCCTCAGTAGATGAAGCTGGGTGTCAATGGCTCATTCGTTCAAACGTCAATTTGAGCAGCTGGGCCTGAACTATATTGGCTGAGTTGACTGTAAAGCTGCGTTATCGAAGTAAACTGTTTAGGACCGTTGGGCAACGGAATTACCCAATTCCAAATGCTTGGCGTTGTTTGTCTCCGTTTGTATTGCCCGATGTCCTGGACTATTTACCTAACGGATGTCAACAAGTCATCCGTCTCAGGAGGTAGTTGAGAGCATTGAGTTAACCTCTAAATGTAATTGTGCACTCAAAACACAACAGTTTTTAGTCAACAGAGAAAACCGACAATGCGGTTGCCGACGGGTAAGTCAATGGTCATGTGATACCCGTTAGCGTTGAGCACCCAACGCAAACGGAAGGTTTACTTCGATAACGCACCTTAAGTTGAAGTAAGGATGTTGACTGTGTTATTGGGTTACTGATTAATGATTTGCACTGTTGAGGAACTACAGATGGCTCAACCCTGCTGTGTTGAAAAAAGCTCAACTTGCATACAGCTTGAGTTTAGAATATAATATTTGTTGCTTTAAGTCGAATTTAGAGGTTAGGTTTCTCAACTTGCAGTCGACTGTAAACCAACAAGATTTGGGCCCATAATTGAAATTTTGTGTTTCTCAACGGTATATAGATAACAAAGGTGAAATGGAGTGGTATTCTTGGTCCACCATGTCCTATCGCTGCTTTGTCATGCCGATGTTGGGTGGAATTGACAATGAACTCAAGTCTAGAGCTCGGGCATCGCATGTTGAGACTAACGTCAAAGTATTGTATATGTCACCATTCACCAGTGGTGCCACCTGACTGCATGTATTAACCTGTTGAGTGGTGTGAATTCAGAGCTAATCGTAGATTGACATTTGTCTCAACGTATGATGAGCAAACTCTAATTCAGATGGTCCAAATTTTCGTCTAGCTTTTCTTCTGTTTTGTCAAATGAAAAATTGGATCATGTGATACTGATTCAAAAACACATCCATGAGATGAAAAGTCAAACCGAAATTTGAAAGTGCCATCACGGTTAACTTACCGTTTAACTTTTCATTCAATCGGCACTGCCAATTAGATAGAAAGGCTGAAGGAAGTCTTCCAATCGACATTAGCGGAAGCTGTACCTTCGCTAACCGGAAGTTGCAGAAGTTTAGCAGAATTCCGTTCAACAATATTGGATGTACTTGGACCAAATGTTGTTAAGGTCAACTTTCCATCTAACTTTTTGTCAGATGAAAAGTTTGACTGTCTGAATTGGGCTTAAAGACTTCTATCGATTTTTCCATAATGTATCAGCAATTTTATTGGCTGTAAGACATTAGCCTGTATCACACTATCAAAATACTCCATCAAAATATCAAGGTCAAGTGTTGTGATTGATCCAAGTCATCGAATAAGCCAATCACGACACCTGACCTTGATATTTTGATGGCTAGCTTTGATAGTGTGACACAGGCTATAGTCTAGTGAAATGTTTCACTATTGCCATCTATGTCCGGTCAACATACACAAAATTTCAATAATCTGCCCACAGAATTGAAGAGGTCACACCAAAAGTATTATCAAGGAGCTTAAGTTAACAACTTCGAGTATGATTCAACTCAAGAAAAAAAATTAATGTCATTGGAGGTACTTCAAGTTCAGAATATACCTGTTTAGCCTCTATAAGAAAGCATCTTTCCTAAAAACTAAGAGGGACCTAGAGGAACTTTTGGACCCTCTCTCAACAAGAGTTTTCTTCTGTGATCCTCTCCCCCTCTGCGCAGAACTATGTGTGGTTTTAGACTTCTTTTTCAGATGTCACATTTTGGCCCTTTGTTTTAATTACATTAATTAATTAAAGTATTGACAACGCAAGTTCACTTACCAGACTATGGAGTAGTAACTGACTCAATTAGACTTCAGCGTCAGTATTTCAGTTCGTGATTTTTTCATGTATCAAAAACGAGTAACAGTATCTAATATAACAAATCTATTTAAAATGTATTTAATTGGCTTGAAAAGCTCCCGGCCTCCTAGCGCACAAAAAAAATTTGACCCTTTAAGAGAATTACTTATTAATTTTTTTGGTTATTATTTCAGTCGAACATCTCCCCCATCCACTTGTAATTATTCACACGTATTGATGATTGTTCTACTTCTTTCTTATCCCACAGGATGTGCAAGCACAGAGCCAATGGTAACAGGTCATCGTAACCCAAAAAAAAATCCTGAGCAAAATCAAGAAGTCTAGAAATCTTGTTTCTCCTTATCCAGAAAGTTAGTGAGTCATGTCTAGCATTAATGAAGTAACACCAGAGGAACTTCCTCATTCAATGGCTACAGCAGCCAATGAATTTGTTGCCTCTAACCCATCTGTATTCTACCAAGATGAACCTGATGTAATTGATGTGGAGGAGCAGCTGGAGGAGGCTCCAAGTGAACCTGTCCCACATGTTCTCAATCCGTTTTCTTGTAATTTTGAGGAGTAAGTACCATTATGTGTTTTAAACCGAAAGTAACGAAAAAACGAAACAAACAGGAAATCGAGATAACAAACTGTGAGCTAAATAATGACCCCAAGAAAGCCGGAACTGAAAAACTCAAAATCACTTAAATAAAATCGCCGACTCGTTTCGGTGGCGACTTCGGTGCCACTTTGTGGCCGACCGGAAGCCCCTGTTGGCCATTTTATTTGTATCAGTTTGAGTTTTTTACTTCAGGCTCTCTTCAGGTCACCATTATGTGTGTTCGAGAGCTCCAGAGACATTATTCATATTGCTTTTTTGATCAGCCCCTTTCCTTAGGAGGCTGCATATAGTTTACATTTTGATTGAGGGGCAGTAAAGAAGCTTTTAACAAAGTGTCGTCAAAAGCATAATTTTGAAGAGCCTTTGAAATAGATCCTTACAATGAGGCATCACAACCATTTATCTCTACATCAAGCAAAAAACACCGAAGAAAAACATGTGTTGGTTTTGCACATTTTAAGGTTGGTTAGTGTACACCTTAAATCCCGTAAGAATTATAGATTTTTTCAATTATTTTATATAAGTACACTGATCTTTGAAAAAAAAAATTTAATTTCTTTGTTAATGAATTGATCACAAATTTTGAATAAATGTACAAAATTGAAGCTGAAAATTTAGGGATCAAAATAAAGTCAACTCTTTTAGTTTCAGCACTTTTTGATTTTAAGTATAAAATTGGAAAATTTCTGTTCGGTCTGAAGACTGAGAGGTAGGTCTGTAATGACAGAAAATTGTCTCTCGATCAATAAAATTGAGCTTTCTTACAAACCCATGACTGATTTCCAAAATCTTAAGCTTATGTCATTTATCTTAGTTGCCTCAGGAGGTATGAAGTAGTGGAACACACTCTCTGGATAATCCTCGTAAATACACCTGACACTCTTTGTTTCCAATTCTAAAGAAAACCGTGTGCATTACAAAGCTGCCCCAAGACATTTGACTCCATGATAGAACATGCATGTGCAAGCCTGTTGTATTGGAGCTTTCTCTATTAATGTTATTTCCTTCTTCTAATATAGGCTCATTGCTCTCCATCAAGAAGCACCAACTGACACAACCCCGATGAGCAAACCAAGTTTCAACAATCTTCAACATGAAACATCAACAGACCAAGCTCCAGATAACAATGCACTATGCAAACGTCAATACCAAAAGCGTGAGCATTTATTTCCTTGGAAGTTTTTTTCTTTTTAATCCATAGAACCTTATTAATACAAATGTATGTAATATTACAAGGCATATGACGGGTATCACGTACGAAGGGCTTAGGACATTATTGCGATTTTGAAAATTACGCATTTACTATTGAAAATTACTCTTTTTGAATAAATAAATTTTAATTCTACAAAAGAGCTCAATACATAATTGAACTTTGAACAAAAATATTGATGCAAAAAAATAAAGTCTACGGATCAGTTATTTTACAAAGTATACCCCAATTTCTCTCAAAATTACTCTTATCATTATTCAAACTGATTGTACTAGACGCACGGGTCGTAAGACAGTATGTTGTAGTTTTTTAGCCAACAAGTGTTGAAAATTCAGCATAAAGTCTCAGCATTAGTTGCCCAAGTCTTGGGCTGGTTTTCACAACCTCTCCGAGCTTGGTAGCAGGAAATTCAGGAGGCTGCGCTGCACTGAGGTTTGGCCCAACAAGCCCGAAACGCGTCTGCTGTTGCCTTCCTGAATGGTCGTAACTAGTGTTGCACCAAACAGCATATCCCTTTGAGGGAAAATTGTGCTCATATGAGCCCATTGAGATTGTCAGCTTAATGCTGAATTTTTAATGCACATTGGCTAAAAAAACTCCAACAAATTGTCTTATCATTATTGTTCTGAAAATTGCACTCAAGTCCTTTATTCAAGATACTTTTTGCAGATGATGACTTTATCCTTGATATTATATTGGAAGACGGTAGTCAGGAATTTTGAATGCAAACCTACTTGACTTTTCAGCTAATAGATTTTCTTCTGATGAATTACAAGCTGTGATCATATATGATGGAGTCATGCAGAAGGATACTTAGGGCCAAAATTCAAACTGTCCAATACAGTGGAAATCTGGTTTGATGTAAAAAATATGGACTTTCAGTTTTCAATGCTGCACACTTTCCACTACTGTCAAGATTATTTGATCCAAATTTTAAGCCATAATTAGCATTATTAATGATGCGTTGACTATAAAAGTGGGTTTTGATTGGTAGCACTAGGTCTGAGTGTTTCCTGCAAATTAAAAATGATATTTTTAACCACTTAAATAAATGGTTTTGTAGGGTGCCAAGAGCGCTGGGAGACTTTAACAGCAGTGCCTTAGGCCCAATCCCCATTTTTTTGTTGCTCAATTTATAGAATTTATGAATGTCCTTTGCGCAAATCAATACAGAATTAACACCTTTAAGCTATGATATGGCTATAAGGGTACCGCAAAATAAGGTTTTCTGCAAATTTGTATCTTGGAGTTTGGCGAAAAAAATTATTTCCCTCCTAAATAAGAGCCAATTTTGGTTTTATTAGATGTTTTATTTTTACAAACGAGTAAACATTTTGACGTAACTATCAATGTTTAGTCAGAAAAAGGCAACAAATGGGGCGTATAATGAAATACAGGGGAAAATACCCAGGAATAATATCCTATTTTGCAGCGTGCCGCGCATTCCGCAATGCTCATATATCAACTCTTGACATGGCGGCTTTTCGCACCCTAAGCAGTCACTTTGTATGGTTAATCATATATTTAGAAATTTATTTTGAGAAACCTGGAATATTTGAGTCAGTCAGTCCGACGTTTTACGTCTACTGCAATTGAATTCTGCCAATTCTTGGGAAATATTAGTTTTTAGTTGTTATTGCAAGAATATTTACCAACTTTGAAGGAGGGGGGGATCTGTTCGGAATTAAGTTAATGCCCAAAAAGTTTACCCTTTTTTAGACTCCGATAGAAGATCAGCATTTGTCAATTCAGCATTAAAAGTAAATGAAAGGCTTGAGATGGCCGATCTGCCATCGCAGTCCAAAAATGCGTAAACTTCTTTTGCGTTGACACTAATGGAACCTACACTGAGTAATTTTATCCTATTCCAATATTTTCTCTCTTTACCAAGGCAGAAATTACAAATAACAAATTCTCACTTAGACTGGAAATATCTAGAATACAGTGTTAGAGACTAAAATAGAAATCTAAGTTGGGTAAGACTGTGGTATTCATGGTGTTATGGTTTTTTGGTATTATGGTAATTAATCATTTGCATTAATATTGCCTCGCCTCTGCAGATTTTTCTGAGATGGTCAACAAAAATCCAGTGAACCACTCTGTGATGCATGTTGTGTATGAGAGGTTGCGTGTCAACTACTAGGATTAGGCTGCCCTTCAATTTGTATTATTTCCACAGCTGAAAATGAGACTGTGACGGCTGTAAATGGCTTGCTGCCATGTTTCACTCATTTTATCTGCAATAAAGTGACTCATATATCCATTTGTTGTAATATGTAGCAAATGTAACAGCTAACAAAACGTGCCTTAGCATGAATTAGAGGAATAGATGGAAAAAGTACCTTTCAAACTTAAATTGCAGTAAAAACCATTGCTGTACTGAATTGCATGCTCCATGTAAGAGAACTCATAATTTGCTCATTTTGATGGTTTTCAGCAGATTAAATAAGACTTTTTCTCGTTTTTATCTTTGTCGGTTTGTAGAAGTGAATCTTCTGGAAAATGGAAAGTAACACATTCTCATTTTGTCTTTACGATGTATTCTCCTCTCTGTTCATAGCTTTAAATAGCTCCTACCTCACCTTATCTTAACTTATCTCTTTGTTTCAGCAATCTCTAAAAAGAAACAAAGAATTCAGCGGCTAATGTTGAACGCTGCTGCAGCAAAATTTCAGCTAGATTTACTTAAAAAGGAGGGTCCATCATTTCATCATCAAACATTCTTAAGGAGGGAAGCTGCCAATGAATCAAGGGAACTTACATTTGCAAATCTCTTGAAGACTGAGTTGATATGTTTGCATAACCCAAATATTTTCAATTGTAAAAAATTGTTGAATAGTGTAGTTCAGTTAGAGCCGCTGACTTTTGATGCAATGGTGAAAAATCGTGCTAGTGCGGATTCTCTTAATTATTTCTTGGTATGGAATAAACAATCAAGAATGTCGAAGCTAGGCACTCATAAACATAACAAACCAATCACAAAGGTGACCGTCCCTGTAGAAACACAAAATACCAACAAACCAATCACAAAGGTGACCGTCCCTGTAGAAACACAAATTACCGTAGCTAAGGACATGAAAACCCACATTCAAGCAAAATTAAGTCTACTTGTCCAAGGACAGCGGTATGTTGGTGCAAATTTACCATGTTATATCAATAGTAAAGAATTGAAAGAAGAAGGTAGAAGTGTTACCCCTGAAGAGAGAACTCAGGTCTCGGAAAATCTGAATAGTGTCTCAAAAGAGTCGAAGGTACTCTTGAAAGATCTCAAGTTTGAAAAAGTAGTAAAGGTCGGCAACCGAATCATTCCTACATCTGAAATACTTGCGCAGCTGCATATGAAGGAGCAAAACATTCAAAACGCACCTCTCAGCCCCTTTTCAGATTCGAATGACATTTCTTCATCGAACAATTCAGCTTCTTGTGGTCAAAGTGATGGGGGAAATTCAAACAATGAAGTGCCACGATTAAGAATCAGGAAAGATTTGTTTGCATCATTTTCGCCATCAAAGGGTAACCCACAATTTAGCTTTCCTCACGTCATTTATGACTCAAATAATGTTGCGGGACATGTGACTGGAACAAGGGAAAATTCCTCACCAGCAATGACTTTGAAACTTTGCCCCCTCATAAATCAGTTGAAAAGCAAGCTTTCAGGGCAGGCCTCATCACTTACAGCAAACAAAGTGATCAGCAACCATGATGCCGTATTGAATAGTAAGTTCCCAGCCTCTGTAAGTAATAATCTAAGTTCTTCTAAAGAAAATCAACCAAAACAATTTCAGAGTTCAAATATTCAGCCCAGCTCAAAGACTGGACCTTGGAGAATATCGGTAGATGCAGAGGATTCAGAGAGCACAGCATCTGAACCCATCGTTAACAACTCTGGGAAACGACCTGAGATTTTGAATAACAGGCGAAAATCCTCAAACAAAACGAGTCCACACGAACTTGCAGATGGAAAAAGTGCAGAAAAAGATAGCCCAGCATCAGCAAGTATCAGGAGTAGAAGTGGTTCTGTGGCTTCTGAAAAATCTAAATGTAATGAATCGAAGTCAGCAGAGGTTGAAGAAGTCAGTTTTTCAAAATCTTCTGATGTTCCAGATCTTGGCATATCCAATTCATCAGATGTTGGTAATGATGGTGAATCAGGAACAAAGAATGAAGAACGCAGCCCAGCATCACCGAAAAGAAGGAGTAGGAGTGGGAGTGGCTCTATGACTTCCAAAGACTGTGAAAATGGATCAAATTCGATGGAAGTTGAAGAAACTAGTATGTCAAGGTCTTCAGATACTCCAAACATTGTCAAATCAAAATCACCAGTTCTTCAAAACACTGACACATCAGAATCACATAATGAGAAAGAGTTGAAGGAATCAGGGCCTCAAACGACAAATGCCCAAAGGAGTATGTCTACGGAAAATCAAGTGATAAGCTCTAAAGTAAATCCATGTAAAAGATCTAAATCTTCAGATGATGTAGATAATGTTACTTCATGGAAAAGGTCAAAACCCTCTGAAGCAGAAAAAATCTCAACTGCAATTTTTGATATCACCAGTAGCAGTCTTCCCAAATCTGTCATGGAGGATGTTTTATCTGTTGATGGAACATTCGATTTAGAGATCAGTAAGGAAGGTGTTACACCGTGGAGGAATATCAGAACCTTATCAGGAAAAGAAGTGCAGAAACGGTGTGGTTCTCTAATACAACAAGTTTTTGGCCCTGAGAATGTAACTGATACTTTTGATATGAATGCAAATATGTTTTCCTCAGTCGTCACTTCCAATTTCAAATCCACCAGTGAAGGCCTTTCCAGTAGCCGAGACAGTGTTTCCACTGGAAAGCTTAATCAAAGGTATCAAAAGCTGGAAGCCTCATTTATTCGTCTCCAAGTGGAACTATTTGATGTTGTAAAAAATGTTCCTGTGTGCGAAATGTTCGGAGAATATCATTTAGATGGAAATCTCGATTCAGAGACATCAGATGATGAAATTGTAAAAAATAAATCAGCAGATCTCAAAGTTATCAATGTCTCCAAAAGGGCAGCAAAGAAAATTTCGTGCTCACCTAAGAAACGAAGAAAATCTAGCAAAATCCCTGCTGGAGCTTCAATTCAAGGAGATGACCGTAGTGTTGCTCTTCATAATTTGCAAGAAGAAAAAAATTACACACTGAAAAATTTAACCTTATCTTCAAGGAAAAGTTGGAATTCCACAAATGCTGTTGAAACTAGCGGTAATTCTGGGATTGAACCACTTCCTGTTCTGAGGCACTTAGGAAAACCTGTGGTAGATGAAAAACTCAGTGTCAAAGAACCATTCATCAAAGTTTTACGACTGAACTATGAGGAAGTGAAGGATGGAATATCTGTTTTTGATCTTGGAAGAATTCCCTCTACTACAAGTTGTTCAATCTCAGGCAGTAAGTATCTTTTGCTTCCTAATATCCGCGTGCCAAGTTGTTAGGTTCAGGTATTATTGACTGCAAATGTCGAAAGTCAGTGCATATGAAGCAATTTTTTGGGGAGAGCTATTTTTGTTAAAGTGGGAAGTAGAGTTTTCGATGAAAATCCCTTCATAGAATCCCCTTGCCTCAAAGAACGAGGTGCAAGCTTGAGCTTTATTTTTTGGGAAATATGAGGCTTATCGTTCACCATAATTTGCCTATTTGGAGCTTAGAATAGCACATAAAAACTTCAAAACAATTCTCAAAACTGTTCCTCACTGCCTTCTTCAAACTGTCATATCAGCAGTCAGGTTTGAAATTTTTGGAAAGAACTATACGCTCGATTTTATGTTAAACATTCTTCTTTACAGTGCTTTTGAAGTCTTAGTTTCTTGTTTTCAGCCATTGAGGTTACTTTTCCCCGAAAAAATTGCTGCTTCAGAAATTTTAAGATCTGCAGTCAATTCACTCTCATTACGATATTCCTTTCTTCCCTTTAAAGTAAGTTTCATTGCAACTATAAAGGAGGGAAGGCTCAAAATATTTTTTGCAGTTTTCAGAAGCTGTCATAGAAAGCTGTATGGTGATTTGGAAAATATTTTAAAATCAGGACTCTGGCTCATTGATAAAAGCATATATTCGCTTAGGAAAATAATGACACTTATTTTGCTTGCGATATGATCCAGGATAAGTAGTTCTTAATGGACCACTAGACAAGGTACGAATTTCAGCATTCTGATACATGCTTCTTAGCCAAAATTTCACGTAGAACACGATGCGCACAACGAAAATTACCGAAATCAACTCCTTACGAAGGTATTCAATAATTAATGATGCGTGAATTCAAACCACCCGCTCATGAAAACTCAATGCTCTACGTGATACACATCGCGCTAAACGTTTATCGTGACAGTCTCTGCGTTATAAAAATCTGGCAACCTCAATCTTGACACTTTGGCTCAGCTATAGCAAATTGCTTATAATTGGAACAACACATGGTGGTAAATGAACATTGCTCGATTGAGAAGCTTGCTGAAACCGTTGTAGTGCGCGATTTGACTCACGTAGAGCTTTGAGTTTCTTGTGAGCGGGCAGTTCAAATTCCTCTTAACCAATGTGAAATTAAAATGTTAATATCTCCGTTAGGAGTTAGTTCCAGTAATTTTCGTTGCGCGAATCGTGTTTTACGTGAAATTCTGGTTAAGATTCATGTATCAGAATGCTTAAATTCGTACCTTGTCTAGTGGTCCATTGCAAAATGTTGTCCAGTTTCAATATATCAGCACATAACAATACAACCTCTAATGGGAGGAGGTTAAGTAGCCTTGGCAATTGATGCATACCCAACTTTTGAATCAAACATGCATAGTGAATGGTGATGCACTGGCCCTTTGTTTTCTATGAGCCTGAAAGCAAATTATGCATCATACATTATAGACAAAATGTGCACATTTTCTGTACTATCCAATATGTATTGTAAAAATATTTACCTACCACGCACCATATAATAATGATTGGTGCTTCTCCAGGAAAATGCAGTTCGCCAGGGACTATTGCCATAAAGGTGCATATTTTGCAGATTTCACTCTTGGGGGATACCCATTCATTATTTATAACCAAAACCAAGCACAAGAGAATGTATGAGAATTCCTTATAAAAAATTTAAGGACAATTGAATCTTTGTCTGCCTTGATAATGGACCAGTTGCAGAATTGTGTTTTGATAGTCCAAGCACACAAATGAGCAAAAGTATTAGCCCATTGATAAACATAGTGTTTGAAATCTTACAATTTGGTAGTGGATACTGTGGTTTCTTCTACCTTGGTTTCATTTGTGTTTCACATTGAGCAACCAGTGGAAATGTTTTCTATCACTGACGGATATAACCAAGGTGAAGGAGACTATAGTATGTACTACTGCGGTGGATGACGTTAGGGATTGATAATCTCTTAAGCTTTCCAAGAAATGCTAGTTCAGCACCTTCCAAGAAAAGTGATGACCCTTATCTTTTTTCAAAACATTCTAGAAACCCCCCAAAAATACCTGGATGTCCAAGCCCTTTTCCACGGTCGCAAAGAAACTTGGAATGACAAGACATCCTGGAACACTTTAGCATGGACACTGCAAAAAATTTTGAAAACCTCTCAAAAATATTGAAACACATCTTTCACCATCTGCCAAATTGCTAATTACCTTTGAAGCTCGCCACCAAAGAACTCGATTTAATTCAGTCGTTTCTGTAAAAAAAATTCTGCACGATTTGACAAAATAGGCGAGGGACACACATCATGATTTTGCAAGAATATAATGACAATTTTTCTTTTTGGCGGCTCTCTAAAATCTTGCTCGATCTGAAAGATTACAAACCCCTGGATGACGTGACGCCGTGTTTTTTCCGATTACCAATATCTCCCTTAATATTAGGCATAGAAACCAAGCGTTTGCACAGATCTCATTATTAAATGCTAATCTATAGACATAAACCACCAAAACACGATTGGTTCTGTAATTCTTGCAACTGGCCCATTCTGCATAGTACATAATTAACGTAAAGAAAATTTTCATCTTTCTCAAATCGCTTCTGTTGGACATGGACAGACAGACCTTCATGTAGTATTTCGGTCAATATCAGGCTCTGTTAGCTCAGAAATTGACTGATTCTTTAGTACACACGAAGTTTTTTTTTTTTTTTCATGTGTATACTAACCTTGAACCCACCATTACTTTTTCGTTTCAGATAGGCGGAAACAAGGCAAACCTCGCAAATATGATTTCAACATAAACAAGTAAGTAATCCTTTTTGCTCTGAAGTTGTAATTAAAGACCAAGTACTTAATTTTGACTAGATCAGAGGTAAAGGGGCTTGAAGTTTTCATTTTATTCATCTGCCAATCGAGATTTAAAGCTGCGTTAAGAAGATTTTTTTTCTAGGCTGTGCTGTTTTGAGAGAAGAGAGTAAGTCAGTAAGTAGTCAGTTGAGGGAGAGTAAGCTGAAGTTTTCGCATATATCAGTTTTTTTGAAATAGTGAATGGACTATATGACAATGTATGAATTGAAACACCATACAACATATTTTCTCATCAACTTTTTATGAAGAAGACGAACCACACAATGGGAAGTTTGAGAATGAATATCTTCAGATGATTACAATATTAACTATATATTCTTTAAATATTAACATTGGTCTCATGGCAAAAATATGAACGACACTATTTGACCAATCTAACTTTCATTTGATATATTTTATTAAATACTTGTTAATGCCTCGTTCAGGAATTGGTTTCCCAACTTCCTGTTGTGGGGATTGTTTTCTATGTAAGATTTTTAAGAGAAAACGTGTGAATTTCTCTAATTTAAACCTTTTGTTCCTTAAATGTGATGCAGGCATTGGACAACGTGACCAGGTAAGAAATTCCAGCAGCTCATTGCCTGTTGCTTGTCAAAATTTCACATAGAGTACGGAGGATGTGTACAAAATTTCCTAAGTCATCTTACAAGTGAGCGCTAAGTAAAGAGTTTCGCGGTTTTAACACCCCACTCGATAAATAAGGAAAGTCAATATGAGTCAAGAGGGGCACTGAATCAAATTTTTGTGCTTTTTATGATGTCATAGTCTTCTCAGAGTGATGGACTGCAGCCAAGTTGAGAAGTAATGAGACTTTAAGGAGGGAAATAAAGTGAAACCTGATTTACCCAATGACCAATTATGCTACTGAACTGGTTAAAAGCATGACATTTTAAGAATGTGCAGCAATTTTTTTTTTTTTTTTTTTCTCAATATGTTCAGTTTTAATGCCTCTTGGCTCCTGTAAGCTCAAATATGAAATTCATTCAAGAAGTGATCTTTGAGTAACTTCTGGCACATAAGGGACAAAAGTCTGAGGATACCTGACCAAGAAAAGAGATGAAATTTGACGCAATATAACCTACCCTCCTACTCCCAACCTACTCTCGTAATTATGAGGGGGGTGGGACGGGTAAATGAGAAATGTTTTGTTTGTTTTTCCTAAACAAAGTGGATGAGAGAGGGATTGTCAATGTGATGCGGTTTTCAGGAGGAAGGATCCAAAACCAAAATTTCAGGATAATCTCTTAAACTCTTTTGACTGAAAATCTTCTCAAGTGTCACCTCAGTACATTGAACTCCCTTTTAAGGTACTCTCAAGGAAACTTCCAAGTTAAGAAGAGTGTTTCAAGGAGCATCTTGAAATTCCAGCATGCCTCTTTGAAACAGGCCTTCAATATGTGCAAAGTTATCCATCCCAGACGCTCCTCAGCAGTCTTTTTGGCGGTGCAACAGTTATTATCCAAGATATTCCTTCATCTGTAAAAAATTGATAATCTGCATCTTTATCGTTTGTTTCAGAACTATAGGAGTCAAAAGTACATCCCAGCTGGTGTCCGATCTGCATTTTATGGTGCGTAATCCAAAAAAAAGAATCAAGTGAGCTACATGATAAACATTTTTACAAAAGACTGTCACATTATTCTAATAAGTTCATCCGCGACCTCGTGATCAAGAAAAGCCTCTTTCTATTGCCCACAAGGTGCCTTTTTCATACCATTATACATTTTAAGCCCATAAAACATTCCATCATTTTGTTTAAGAACCAATCTGTCATCATAAATTTTCGCCTTTATGTAGGTTTCAAATGCAAATTCTGTTAAGTAATCCAGAGCTTTTAAATGGAGCTGTCTCCTCAGGATTTGACTAATTCTTCTGATACTAGGACTCCTTTGAGGAGTTTTGATGCCTCAATAGGGACTAAGCTCTGCAGTTTTTCACATCACCAAAAACGTGTTTTAGCCCGTTCTTTGATTGGTTCCTGCAAGTTTTATTCTTAATTATCTCCTCAAACTTTTTCTGGGATGAGATGATCCTACAAAGCAGTACTTCTTTCAAGTTAGGTAATTTTTTAATTGGCAAATTTTTGAAAAATTATTTTTGGGCGCTTCTGGGTACCAGATGCGCCCTTTCCAACCGTTCGACTCCCCCGATGTAACATGTACTATACTACATGCCCTTTTGCCTTATGGGTAATGACGCCATTCTGGTACACCCGGGAAAATTTCATTTTTTTCTGCATCTGGTATTCGTAAAAGTTTTCGTGAAATGTTTTGCTTTTAAGCATAACAATCTCGCACGGGCGTATTACCTGGTTAAACTATTTTGGGGCTTCGTTATGCTTAAATGCCTCATATTCGAGGTTGTAGTTTCAGATTGATTCGAAAAAATCACGAACAGTCACGTGATCTCTTCATTTTAGTGACGTATTACTGTGCTATTTTGTGATTGGTTCATTTTCTCGGCGCAGCATCGTCAAGCGCATTGACGTATAATACAATCTAGACCGCGCATTGGGCCCGACTTTGGGCGGGGAAGGTAAGACAGCTAGGGGGGTAAAGACGCGCCTTCAGCTTAGTTGATACCGCCGGATATACGAGCTAAGTGTACCCGTATCAGGCAACGGCACTGGCAAGACTGGCATTTCCACGAATTCCACCATTGTCTCGCCGGTACACTTGCTGTGTGTTGCTGGGTTGCCTATCGTCTCGCTTGAATTTCGTAATGCGCGGTCTAGATTGTATTATACGTCAATGGTCAAGCGTCAGCTGTTTGCGGCTCTGGGTTGAAGGTTTAAGGTTATGTCAGAGAGAATAGAAAGTTAGAGGCCCGACTCGAATGCTAGGTAATTGAAACAGATGCGCTCGCAGCGCGCTCGCTGGCAACGTACGCAACTACTATTTTCTATTGTTTTCCAGAGACTAGCGGCGGGTATGTTGCTGCCGGACCACCTTCACGTAGGCAATTTGTTATACATCGTCCGTCCGCAATACTCTCGCTTGGCCGTATGAAACCGTTCCTCGCATGCGCAGTGTTAAAGAAGCGCCCTCCAACGCGTTGGCGTTGGAACTGCTTGTTTAAAGTTCTCTCTAGTTTCAGTGTAGTTAGGGCTTATTTTTTAAGTTTGGCCGTTGGTTCTTGAATGACTTGCTGATAGTTTTGTGTATTGTTATACTTTTTTAAAAGATCCCTGTATGTATGAAGATAAATTTTCTATCATATTGAAGTTACCTTCCTTGAATGTAATCGGACTTGTGATTAGAGCGCCAATTTTCTGAGAGAAAATGTTTCTCATCTTTTTGTCAACACTTAAAACCACATCTTCCATAATCTAAAAATGTTTGTCTAGGAGCCTCCGAATGAATGCCTCCTTAAATTTTTGAGATTGAGATGCATTGGCAAAAAGTCATTGTAAATTTTCTCTACAAAGATATGGTCCCTTTTCACAGATCTGGTCACAAGTCAAACTGAGACTTTCAGAGAGGAAGTGCAACATCTAAGTCCAGTTCAGACTGCAAGCTGATAAAGTTTCTCTTTAAAGTCCCTTTTCTTTTTGATGATGTGACAGTTGGACTACATTAAGCAAAAAGGAACCAAGCCACATCAGCTATTGTCAAATTAAATTGGGCATTTTAATTTCTTATATGAAAACGGTTTTGAGCGGATTTTTGAGCAAAATCAGCTGCATAGTGCGAAGCAAATTCCTTGAAATTTTCAAAGGGATCTGCATAATCGTTCTCTTTTAAAAAATTAAAGTGCCCAGTTAACTTTGGCAATAGCTGATATGGCTTGGTTCCTCTCTGCTAAACGCGGTCCAGTCAGAGGCAGGGGCGCAAATTGTTCTTGACCAAATTGCAGACGTGCCCTAATATTGTGGAGGCTGAGTGGTCTTTTTTAAAGCAGGCTAAATTTGCGCGTTGTATTAACCTTATTTTTGCAAAAACCTTGCACATCACCGAAAATTGTGGAGATCTAGAACAATATGCACCCCTCGTTAGAAGGTAAAAATTTCAATCAGAGATCATTTAAGTTCTCACATACCTTAACTTTTAGGGCTGGGTATGTTCATATTGCCCTTTATAGTCTGTGCAAATCAATTAGACTGAGTAAAAATTTGGGCATTTTTGGGTGAGCCGAGAATTGCAATGTCGGATCCCGGCGAGGAGCCGCTGGGTCAGCGCTGAACTCACCGGGGTATTGTTCCCATTGTGTCCACGCCGGGCCTTTACCTGGCGGCCGGACCCTTGTCATTAAGGCCCTCTGGCTACTGGTGGACCAAAAATTGCACACCAATTTTTATATCATCTGTGAATTTTTCCTTCATTTCAAGGGATTCGGATTCATCTTGCAATCCTGATGAAAAATATATATAATTATAGGTAAATATAATGGTAAATTATTGTATTACAGAACTCGCGAATTCCTTCAGCGCTTTCCAAAAACTCCAAAAAAGTTCTGGAATACAGTAACTTACCATTAAACTTACCCACGATTGTATATATTTTTCATCAGGATTGCAAGCTGAATCCGAATCTGTTGAAATGAAGGAAAAATTCACAACTGATAAAAAAATTGGTGTGCAATTTTTGGTCCACCAGTAGCCAGAGGGCCTTAATGACAAGGGTCCGGCCGCCAGGTAAAGACCCGACGTGGACACAATAGGAACAATACCCCGGTGAGCTCAGCGCTGACCCAGCAGCTCCCCGCCGGGATCCGACGTTGTAATTCTTGGCTCGCCCGAAAATGCCCGAATTTTTACTCGGTCTAATCGGTTTGCACAGACTATAGAGTGGGTAGAACGATACATATGCATGTGTTGAAAATGTTAATTCTAAGTTTAACAAAATTTTCCAGTGCTGAAAAGAGGGTCGGAATGTGGAAAAAGGCAGCCTTTGCAAAACATGAAATTGTGCATCCTTAATTGACGCTAGGCTTTAAGGTCAATTAGTGTCTCAAAATGAAGGCCTGTGGGGTTAATTGGGACAGTGGATTGCCTAGAATGAATGGTTCAAATGCGCTGGTCACAAAATCGTGTTTTGATGCTTACTTCTTGTAGATCACCTAAAAATAATACATTCTATCCAAACAACAACTTTCTACGTTCAATATTAGTCGAGATATCACGGGTTGAAAAGTAGGGTTTTTGACGGCATCCACTACGGTAGTGACACCCTTGGTTTCTTCCACCTTGCTTTCGTTATTTAGTGTGTCGCCATTTTGCACTGGTTACTCAAAGTAAACTCGGACGAAAGCAAGGTGGAAGAAACCAAGGGTGTCCCTACCGTGGTGGATGACGAAACTGACTTTTTCAAAGCGCGATATTTCAGTTAATATTGGATGTAGAAAGTTGTTGTTCGGATGGATCGTAATATTTTTAGGTGATCTACCAAAAGCAAGCATTAAAACACGATTCCTTCACCAGCGCAACTGACCCAGTCATCCCCTTTATTATTGAGAGCTTTGCTGGAGCAAAAATATATATCTGCCAACACCAAAGGTATCCATTTTCAGTTAAGTTTAGTACAGGTATCATCTTTGCTCCTTCTAAGCGTATTTTTTCATACCTCTTAAGTGTGCTTTTCATTTGGCTTACTTTTTGTTTTCCAGCTAGGGGCGAGCTGCTAAATTCCTTTGTTCATTCTGCCTTGTTATCTAATGGAATCTGTTCATGGTCAAAACCTGAGGATTACTCAGGTTAAGTTTAAAGAAGATAATGAGCTCATAATTTGGAGCAATAATTCAAGACTTATTCTTAACAAACTGCTTTTGCACAATGGGCTGTCAGACAGGGTACGAATGAAACTTCTCTTAGGTATGTTTCCTGATAAAAAACCTCATGCAGAACTATTGAACACTTCCAAAATTCACTCATTAGTTAAAAATTAACGGTCATTTTTTATGTCAAGATCAATCAATTTAAAATTCCCACTTGCGAAAAAACCAAAATTCATGCAAGTAAATTGCCCATCAAATACAATCGAATCAATTGAGCAAATAATCAGTGTTTGACTCAACAGGACTTCTCCCTTCTCTCATTTGCAAAACTTTTGTATCACTTCAAAAAAATGCTGAGTTCAGGAAATATTATTCCAGATTACAGAGCATACAGAAGGTAGTACTGTGCTTGATTTGACTGAAGTAGACTTCGGTTTTTTTGAGTAGGAGCTTCGAATTGATGAACAAAGAAAATGCTTTATTTTTATTTATTAGTTGAACCAGAAACTTTTATTTGTATCTACTGCATTTTATTTGAAATTTTGATCCTGAGCCATGTATTGTGGCGCTTAATTTTGTATCCTGTCTACCAGACCATTACAAAGAATTTTCTGTGTTGATACATTGTGCCTATGCACACATATAATTATCGTGATAAATCAATACGATGTAACACACTGTAAGTTTTCCAGGAGTATTGAATTCAACTTCTTTTAGTTTTAAGGCTTCCTCACTATTAGAATAGTGTTTCTTCCTCGTTGTTTCAGTTTGCAGAATCTTTTTAGTACTATTACGTTTATAGCCACCTGACTACTTTTACTTTTTTGGATTTTTTTTTTTTTTTTTTTTTTTTTTTTTTTAATTTAAGAAAAGATCGGAAATCATTTTAGGTAAAACTGATGTTAACGAGTTACTGTGAGTTTGAACTGTAATATTGTTTATAAAGTGATACAATTTTAATATGACTTGATGATATCAAATTTTTGTACCTCATTGTTGAGTTTTGACAACAATTTAAAGACTCTGCTGTGAGAAAATGTGATATTTTCTATTTACATTGAGGATGTCAGTTGTGGTGACCAGCGGTTTTTGGGTTAATATTTTGCATTTTTGAACCATCATCCGCTATGCATTGGTAGAGATTGGAAAATTTTGCTGTTATTTTTGCTGATTTCGCCGTTATTTTTGTAGCACTTTTTGCGATTGACAGCTTAAAATGAAGCTTTTGATTTAACAAGCCATCAATGAAGCTTTTGATTTAACAAGCTATCGCTCAGTCTCTCTTTCTGGTCCTATTTTACAGAAGCGCTTTAAGACTTTTCATGTTTTCTTGATTAAAAAATATCTGTTGCTAACTTTTTAGAAGCACTGTCTATAAATATGTGTCAGTCTACATTTTCACATGATCATATGATAAAATCATTTGGAGTTATGTTTCTGCCCTGGTTGCCACCATTCTTCCATCAGTATTTTGATGCCATTGGCAAACATTGATAGCTTATAGCCAATGACGACCAATGTTTTAAAAAAACTCTGCAATTTCTTTATTTTGAAAAAAAGCGCGGCAAATTTCAAGTTATATGCGTATATACGTATATGTATATTTCAGGATAATGTACGGATTCCGTGTTAAATCCGGAAAATGGCTGATTTTGCGTTATTTTGCTTTATATTTTTGTGATCAGGGGGTTATGATCAGTGCTTCTGTCTGGTTTTTAGATTCGAAAGCACATTTTAAAAATTTTGCGGCGGATCTTGGTGTCGGAATGTTCCAATCTCGATGCATTAGATTTGCAATAGAGGAGGTACTAAAATGAATTTTTCAGGATTACAATGTGATTAAAATCCGAACAATCCTGACTATGGCAAAAGGAACTCAAAAATTGATCCAGCAACGGTAACATCTGCTGCTCATGTGCATTGGGTGCTGTTAAATAAAGTACACTTTTCACTTGACCAGATTCACAGAATCGTTTTTATCAGTCTTCAAATGTTTTAAGAAATGTTTGACCCAAGTACATCAAGAATCCATCCACTTATGAATAGGAAGGTGTGCATTAATAGTTATTGAAAAATTGTATTTTTAAAGTCATCAAATGAAATACCTTTTCTATTTCTAATCACCTGATCAATTGGTAAAAATGAGAAATTATGATTCAGAAGAAATGAAGGAAAGAATATTAGACAAAAATTATGGACTGGTAAAATTTAAAAGAAAAAAGGTTGTTTTCCACAAATTTGTTCTCTTTATTTTTTTCAACTGTAACATTATTCAGTTATGTTTTTTACTAAACGATTTGTTTTATTGTAAATATGTTATATACCAAAAATGTATTTAATAGTGTAATTTATTTTTATATGAAGGTGTAAAATAAAAATGAAATTTCAGTTACAATAATGGAGAAAATTTCCTGTTATCCCGCAAGTAAGAAATTAAAGGGGAAGGATTGGAAGTTCCCCTACATTTTTAGCACTCTCTGTAAGACCTCAATGGGTAAGCTGCTGAGGAGCAGAACAGTGGAAATAGCAAGGAAACCCGTCAAGTTTAATTGCAAGCTTTGACCGTAGAATCCTCTGTTTAAGGGGCTACTTATAAGAGTGTCTAACTTATAAATTTACACTGTGAAAGAACACCGATGGGAAAACCTAGGATGGATCTGTTGGGTTGGCGTATGCCCCCCCCCCCCTAAGAGCACAGTATAAGATATGCTTTTTGCGAATTAGCGCCATGGTGCTCATTAAAAAATACATTTCCGGGTAATTTTCAAATTTTTTATAACCAAATTATGTCGATGGCAAATAAGGTACATGTGTTGGAGCTGATTTATATCAAAATCGTTTCACAAATCAAGATGCAGGATTTCACGGTTCCATCATTGATACACCATGCAACAATACGTATGTTGCAAAAGTTAATTGGGCAATGAACTGGGTACCTACAAAACACTTGCTCCAATTGACTTATCCAAGAAATTCACAGCCTTTAAAAAAGACAAGATTTTGGAGGTTTTCTTTTTTTTAAATTTATTTTTTTTTGTTTTTATTTCCTACTAACTTACATCTATTTGCTGAATCACAGGTAACAGTTTTCTAAGTTGGGAACAGTTGTTCAATATTTCTGACCTGACCTGACCGTATTTTCACACGGCCAAATGAAGCATGAATCACAACTCCTGTAGTTGGATTTTGCTCTTTTTCACCTTACATCTCAATTTTTTTATCCTCTTGACTGATAATTTACTTATGATAACATTAAATCACATGCAGTGCAACTGAAAAATTCAGCACACACCCTGGGTAGAAGAACTAGAATAAAATTTAAAATGCCTGAGTTAGTCAGGGTATTTTTTGAGACAAATACAAAAATTATTACCGATTGGAATTGGAGAAAAAAGAAAAGGAAAAAAACCACTATCACAGTATTTACAATCAGGAAGCTAAGATGAGTTTTTTTACCTATGGACTGCAATAAAGTCTCTAGAGGGAGCTGCGGTTCCCTGAGTATGTCACTGGATAAAATGAACAACAGTAGATATTTTGGTAATTTTTGCACGAATTTTGCTTCTGGATCACAAATTTTGTTACCTCTGCATAAAAGAGTACAAGTGATAAAAAATTTATCAGATTTCATGAAAAACTTGTAGTTCTTAATGGTGCACAAGCAGACTCCCTAGAAGTGCTTCAATAAACTCAAGACATACTTGTGTCCAAAGGATAACCTCTTTTTTGACATTAGGGAACCAGTTTCAACTGGTCAAAAACAAATTTATTTGACTTGGTTTTGATGGGTTACTCCCCTAAAAATTTGAAACAAGTTAATCCATACAGAAGAAACAAAAAGGAGGAGAAGTATCGCTAACTTAACAACATCAGTTTTTACTCATTGTTGGTGAGTTACAATGTTATTAGAGTATGGGACCTGTTGTTACAACCCTTTCCAACCTTCATGGAATGGAGAAATAAGAACCACCGATCAAAAAACGCGAGGTACAAAGAAATACAACAGTCCTTAAAGTAGGTTTGCAGAGAGTGTCATTACTTGATTTTCTTAAGGGCTTCCAAGCGTTCAAGTAATGGAGGATGAGAAAGATGCCACATAGAGAAGAGCCAGTCATAAATTGGGAAACTTAAATTGTCCTTATTCAGTTTAATGAGAGCTGCTTGAAGATATTCTTCTTTGCCAAGTGCCAAGGCAAATGCGTCAGCTTGAAATTCGAATTTCCGGCACAAAATTGTCAAAAGGAAGGATAAAATCTGCAAAGCAAATAATCAGTTCTAATTAGTGATCAAATGATAAATAACTTCTAGTAATAGAAATTGATTTGATTTTAAGTACTTTACTATTGCTCAGGAGAGCTTTTTCACAAAAAAGCCAAAAATTGTCGGCCTCCTGAGGTGTAGTGGTTGTAGAGCTGGCTCTACAGTCAGGAGGTCCAGGGTTCAGTTCCTGGTTAGGCGACCCGAGTTTGATGGTCTCAAACAACGGTTGCCTTGGGCTGGTGCATGTTAGGGACGGAGGGGGAGGGGCTCTAACTGGATTCGCAAGGATTACCACTTGCGTGGTATTTGAAGTAGTAGTAAAAAAAAAAAAAAAAAAAAAAAAAAGTAGCAAACCAAACTAGAGCTATGATGCAATTTAAAAGAAACTCAATTTTGAGAGGAGTTATTTGGAGTTTTAGTCAACCAAATTCAACGCTCAAAATTGTCAGAACTTTCTGCCGTCTATTGGCGCAAAAATGAACTTAGCCCCTCGCAACTTATTCTTTGGGATCCTGAGAATTATTGTCTATCAAAAACCTTAGTCAAAAATCACTCTCTTGAGAAACTTGCATCAATTCACTTCGATTCTTTCTTAAGAATAGTCAAATTTGTGGTCTCATATAAATTGACAAAAGATATTATATCTCTTATAATGAGATCTATGATACAATTGTTTTTTAGTATTAAATTCAACTGCAAATCAATGATCTCAAGGCTAAGTTAATCTGGCAATGCTATTGACTACAATGTTTATAACTCCCTTTACATGTTATATCTCTACACCTTTATTTAAAACGATTCTGAATAAGTTGAGATATTTGAGCATAGGTATTCATTTTTTTAGAGCTTGGTGATGGAGAAATGCACTTTTATAATCGATTCACATTAATGCAAATCTATCATGTACCAAGATTGCTGTGTTAAATGTCCGCCCTATTTTAACTCCGTCTACAGGAATGGGAGTCACATAGAAATATTTGCATATTTTTATGTGAAATGTTTCGAGAAAATTTTTAGAGTAACCTGCAAGTATAAAAACATCCCAAAATTTCACTAAGTAAAGCTGTTGGTAACTTGCATTAAAATGGAATGAAGTTGGGATTTTTTTGCGTAGAATTTTTCATTTTTCTATTATCATACTTGATGAGTTAATGACGAATAAAAAGTGTTACTTACAGCATTATATGGACTGAATACAAACTGTTGAACTATAACCAAGCCAATGAAAACTGGTTGTGAGTCAAAGAATCCAAATGCTCGATACAGCACAGAGTATTTGAACAGCAACCCAAAGGCAAGGAACATCAATAGCAGGTTGACCTGGAAAGGGGAAAAAAATTGCGGTTAAGCCAATTCTGAATTTACCTAATTTATCTGGAGTCCTTGCCAAATAAGCTTATGCACTTCTTGACTGCAGCAGAAGATTGTCTGATGTCACTTTTACATGTAACGTAAATGCAAGAAGCAAGGAGTGACTGCGGATTTTCTGTTACAGTCTAAAAGTGTGCAAACTCATTTGACGTGGACTCTACAGAGAATTAAAGTGCACCAACTCTAATTTGCTGATCATTATTAAGAGGCAATTAAATTTTCGACAAGCTTTACAGGGTTCTTTGAAAAAGGTAACTGATTAAGTGTACATGAAAGATCAGGACCATCAGCAGATTAAAAAGTGGCCACGTACAGGCATCTTTTGAGTAATCTGGGTGTAATTGGCATGTTGCATTTCAACATACAAAAAATGTCTACAAATTTGGGGAACATATAGTCCTCCCTAGGCTTTTCAAATGTGATTACCCGAGGAAATGCTTGGCATTCAAGCAAACAACAGATTAATTGTAAAATAATTAGGATATAAAATAATAATTATAAGGATTGAAAATGCAACAATAATCAATTGATCTGCAGTCTACTTCACAAAACCTGAGGTGGTTAAATCAGAATTAAAATACATAAATGACAATGCATCAGTCCCTTCTGAGATAACCTTCCCTCTGACTTGACACTCTATTAAGCAGCTAAGAGTGGCCTGAAACCCATGTATTGTGAAGACGAACACAATCGTTACCTTTCATCACTCCTTGGACACTAACAACACAGGTAGAATTTTTAAGCTATTGAAGAATTTACTATTTTGTTGTTAAAATTTAGTTCTGGTGAAAATTTTTCTGTTTTACTACGATTTCAGGCTGACGACAATATATAGAGTTTTCACGCAAGAATCATGCGCTTAAAATTCTTATGTGTTCTTGCAGTTTCCAGAGTGTGATGCAACGTAACCATTATTCTTCCCTTCAAAATACACGCATTGCAGGCCTCTTATGGCTGCACACAATAGTAAGTGTAAAGTGAATGGCCCGGTCATCACCACCAGTATTGAAGCGTTGTCTTTTACAGATTTGAATCTGGATTCTACAAGCTCATTAAGTGGATTTTAGACTATGTAGTATGCCCCATAAAAAACAGGAGGAACAATTTTCTCCACCAACGTAGAGGTAAATCCTTGTTCATTCTTATGAATCTCATTCTAACTACAGGTAGATGCTTGAACCATGTCCTAAAATAATCCATTGAGTACTTAGTGGCTTAAAAAATTCAAACCTGCATGATTATGATGTTCTTCAAAACATGATTCAACTTCCAATGTCCAAGTTCGTGGGCTAATACTGCGAGGACTTCATCATTATCACATCCCTTTTTGCTCTCTCCTTTTTTTTCTGCTTCGATTTCTTCCCTTTCGTTCTTATCATCGTCTTTCTTGTCTGACACAGGCTTATAGTCCTTCAAGAGAGTGTCATATAGTACAATCCGTTTGTTTTTGAAAAAACCATAGAAATAAGCATTACTATGGGCTGATCTCTTGGAGCCTAAAGGTAAATAATTAAACAAAGGATACAAAATATGATAACAGCGACAAGGAGGCAATGTTAATTTTACACTACTGAGTTAATTTTTCACATATTTGTCCTTCTCATCAACCTTGACATGTTCTCTACCTGGTCTGTCAAAATGACTGCTTCATTATTGGTTTTTGTGGCTCAAAACCACAATACAGACTAGTCTTTTGTGCAGAGTGTTTTCGTCTTCTGCCAAGCAATTAAAACAATATCTACAGATTGAATTAGTAAGGCTACATATCGACGGTGAAACTACCAAACCACGTATCTCGTTTGCGGTGTTTAAAAATCTACACTCGCATTTTATTTTTTTGAAGTAGCCCAAATCAATATCATTCCTTGAAATTTTCACAGAATTTTCTCCGCACGAAGAGGAAAAATCACAGAAATTTTTAAGACTGGACGTTAAGTAGTTTTTCATTTAAAAAATGAAGTATGACAGGAAGTCTGCGACGTCGCAAACCGAGATACGAGGTTTGGTAGTTTCACCGTCGATATGCTTATTCGAACACAAACGAGAGAGGTGCCTCCTGAGAATTTTTAGCGATAGTAGTTCACAGCCATCAACTTTCATCATAGAATCGATCCATTATCAAGGAGGTTATAGTCATACACCTAAGAATTAACTTTTAGATTCTTTCCTTCAACTGATTGCATGGTTTACCACCTAGAGAACATGCATGCAAATAAGAGTAATGTCTTTTTTATTTTTAATTTTTTCTTTTCTTTTTGGGTGGAAAATTCAGTTAGACTCTGTTCCAAAGGTTACGCCAAAAAACCGAACTGAAAAAATCAAAAGAAAGGGAAACTAAACTTTCAGTTTGAAAAATCAGTGGTTTTCGAAGTCTTGTTCCTCGGGCATTTTTTCATATCTAAGAGTACCATTACAGTGTCCTATAAATTCTAAGTGAAGCCTAGACACATGCGCCAGCACCATTTTTTTTCCAATTGCTCAAATGGAGGGGAAAACTGGCCTTGTGCTTTAGATTTGATTTTGGTGTATGAAATGCAGTCAGAGGAGTACAGTCTTTCATTTTTTGAGGGGAAAAAATCAACCAAGTGACATTTTTAAACAAAAAACTCGCACTTTGGACCCAGGAGATGCAGGGTGGAGGGTAGGGTCAAGGACCTGCTGCACCGGTTTTGCCGAACTACGCTTAGCGGAATGATTCCCCTTTCAAAAGTCCTTGATCACCAGTCCAAGGCTTATCTCTTGGTTATTGTGGTCCATTCCTATTCATCCCTAAAGTCAGCAGTATTGTCAAATAAATAAAGATACCTTTATCCCGCCAGTCCAAAGTGCAAGTTTATCGTATGTAAAAGTCTCTTTAGGTGGTTTTTTTTCAAAAAAAATTCTAACCACATGTTATATGCCGAAATCAAATTTCAAGAGTTTGTTTTTCCTGGGCCTGTTTTTCCTATCATTTAAACCAGAGTAATTTTTAATGGAAAACGTGTGCTAGTAAATCCGTGCTTCACCTAGGAGACAGAAATTTTTAGGGCAATCTAGTGGGACCCTTAGACATGGGAAAATGCAGCGAGAGAATTAAAAATGTTGGCTCTTTTGAACAATCCTATTTACCATTTAAGAACGTGAATGCAGAGCATTTAGAAAGCCTCTACTCCCGAATTTTTCAACTTTTTACTGAGTTTTCCTACTAGTTTTTACGATAGTTCCTAGCATTTATGATAGGCTAATCTTCAGTATTTCAGTTGCATTAAAAACGCAGAGCAAAAATACTGGAACTGCAGATCAGCTTCTTCACATTATTTAAAGACACTTTAATCAACTGCAGAAGAATTGCTTAGTACTATTTTGAAAAAAACTTTCTAGCTATAGAAAAATAAAAATCAATAAAGCATTGAGTTGTTCATGTGCAAAGGCACAAACCACAGAACAAAGATTTCAAGGAATTACATTCTGCCTGGGGGGCATTTTATTTATCATATCATTGAAGTAAAAGTAAATTTCCTGATATTTTGTATTTTCCCGTGTTTTTATTGACATGTGTCACTCTGGAACCCCAAGCCGCACCAAAGAGAAAAAAAGGAGTTGCTAATATTTCGGATTACTTGATTTTGTGGTTGGTGCAGGTGGATACAGACTATTTATTTGATCGATTTTCTTGAATATGATGTGGTTAACGGAAAAAAGGCATAAAAGTGTTCAAAAGCGTAATATGTGAGCAATTCCACCAAAACAACAGACGTTACAGTTCATTTTCCATACTTTGAATTACAAATTTCGTTAGGAAATAATGCTGCCATATATTGTATCCACCTACAACACAGTGTAAACAAATCGGAGCTGCCACCTCCGTTTTTATCTCAATAAAGCTGCACTGCTCTTGGCTTTGGCTGAAGTGAATTCTCAGGCATTCCAGTTTGATGCAGGGCAGGAAGACACCTTCCGCTGCGAAAGAATGGTAAAACTGGTAAAACTGACTTAGGCGGAAACCTTCTACAGTCATTACAACCCACCTCCATACCCACTCCACAAAATCTCACACCAAAAAGAAGTAATATTTCAAAGATTTCTAGTCTCTTTTGATAAAATTCAGACAAAAAGAAAAAAAAAACAATAAATTTTTGATTTACCTTCGACAACATAAAGCTTATACAGTGGGAAACCGATACTTGATGCAAGTTCTTCAATACTGGAGCGAAGTTCACCCTCTGGCAGAGGAGTATACTTGTCAAATAGGGGAGCAATATAATCGGGATAGATGGTCATCAAGAACAGTGACATTACTAGTGTAAACAACCACAGATAGAAGAAGAAATAATCACCGCCAATCTTGACAATGTAAACGACGGCCATTGTCAGTGGAATGGTTAGTACCTGGGTGATTCCGAAGGATTTGATATGGTCTTTAATGAAAAACGGCACAGTCTGTAAAAATAAAAGAGACCCACACTATATTTACTTCTTTGTGTAGCTTGTAGTTCTCCTTTTACCAGAATTAAACCAGTATCCCTAGGTTCACAAATGAAAAGGGACCATTAATTTAGTTACAATTTTAGTCTAATACATGTTTCCTCTTCAAAATTTCTTGTAGAACTTGATTCGCGCAACAAAAATTGCTGAAATTAACTCCTAATCAAGATAATTAAGTTCTCTTCCATGACACTGAATACAAAAATACTGATTTCTCAAATCAAATCAAATCGCGCACCGGAAAGGTTTCAGAATGCTTCTTAGCCGAGCAGAGTTACTTACCTATCCCGTCTTGCTCGAAGTCCAAACAATATTCAACAGCAGAGTCAAAGTGCCAAAACTGAAGCTGCCATACTTTCATACTACAGAGACTGTTTTGGTAACGGTCAGTGTGCCATTTAACTTCAGTGGATGATAGTTTTTTATGACGGGGAAGTTTCAGTTCATGCATCGAAAGACGTTAATGTCTAGGTTGAGAGATACTTTCAATAACTTTTGTTGCACAAATCTTATTCTGCATAAAATTTTGATCAGCATGTGACCAACAACTGAAAATCATGCATGGAAAATTCTAACTATGTGATGCAGTATTATTTTTTTGAGATCCGATTGGTCAGAGAAGAAACACCTTTAGCAAAAATTAATTTGCATGAATACTGTCTAATAAATTAAATATTTCAGCCTTAAATCGCAATTTACTGAAATTTCTATTTTATTTTTTTCTTCCTTGATTTTCTTTCTGGCAGAGTCCTATTTAGATATTTGGTTACTTTCATTTGGTAAGCTTGTGTTACTCAGTTTATGACATCTGGTAATGAAATAAGTAAAATCCTCTGGAAGAGTAATGAAGCAGAAGATTTCTTAATTGAGTACAGAAAACTCTTGCTTATCCGGATTACTTGAGACCAGATCGATCTTGGTAAAAAAAAAAAAAAAAAAAAAAAAAAAAAAAAAAAAAAACAAATAATCAATAGAGAAAAGAACTTTCAGTTACATATAATAATTAGAACACATGGCGTGTTTGAAAGGATGATTTTTGCATATACAAATGCATTCCTCTATTTGTGAGCAACCGAAATTAGTATCCAATAATAAAAAATCCACTTGTCCTGGCCAATTATACATTCAGGCGCACTTGCAAAATCAATATCAGGGTGTCTACTAAAATAGGTTGACCAAAAATGAGTACTTTTACAGTACTCTCCCAAGAAATTCAGTACTTTTTCAGTACCTTCAATAGACTAAATTCGGCAAATTTGGAATTCCCGCTCAAACTGTGATAAAAATGACAAAAAAATGAAAAAATTCCAGACCTTCTTGCAAAATTCCGCACTTTTCCAGCACTTCCAGACCGCCCATTAAAAATCAGTACTATTTCCAGACTTGTAGACACCCTGCATATGAATGACGCGCAAACCATATAAATATGTGCTTAAATAAGTGGGAGTTTTTTGTGTTGTTTTGTATACTTGAAGGCAGTTCTTTAGAACACTTCTTTGATGCAATTCTTTCGAACGCTAATTGAATGCAGTTCTTTTGAACGCTCATTGAATGTAGACTCACTTGCTTATTGAAACCATGCTTCTCTTCTAATACGAATGTATTGTAAATACTGGTGGGCAGAGACGTTATAACATTGAAAATGTTCATCAACACCATGAAGCAAGCACTCACGACCAATTCATTTTCTTCCAAACCTACAACACCAGCCATAGATTGCCCAGAGTTCCAAAAATAGACTAGCCCATTGCAGAAAATAATGACCTATAAAAGAAAACATAAAGACCTTATAGCGTATGTACATAACATTACCACACATTACTTGGGGAGAAACAAAATTTTTTGAGTTAAGTTTTAGAGGCAAATTACAATGATCTGACTACGTACAAATGGTAGGTATTGATGTAAACGACCAAATGTGGTTTAAGATCGAACTGGAGTACCCCAGGACAAATTTTCTTTTGAGAACTTAAAAAAATTTCACACATGCTCAAAAAGAGTTATCATCTGATTGGTGATGTTCGCATATTCTGTTGGAGATATCTGCTGACATAATTTGGATTGCATTTCGCAGAGGGGAATCAATGCGATTATAGTGTATCCAATACGGTTTAATTTCTTCTTTGCTTGGAAAATTGCTTAATATATGTTATGCAATAAAATGTATACATTTGTGTTCCTTAAAAATTAACAATTTATTGCAGGTAAACAAAAACTGTTTGCTTTTCTACGCATTTTTTCAAGTAAAGATGTGGATGCAAGATTTTTACAACACTATAAACCCATTGGTTTCTTTCAGCTAAATATGATTAATTTCTATCTCACTATAACCTTCTGCCACATGAGCCGTCTGCAAAGTAGCAAATCCCTCTTCAGCTACCACAAAATACTTCGCTTCCTTCCTACATTTAGGTTTCCTGACTCCACCGACTTCCTAACATTGAATTTAAGTAGTCTAAGTGATTGCAGAGGTGTGTCGTGTTTTGATTTCTCTGCAATAGCTACATCTTTCATTAATTTAGGAGCACAGTCCAACTCTGAGGTTCAGTAGGTACATGACAGCAGATCCCAGTTGTCTTAGCCCCTAGAGGATGCCTCAACCAGTTAGACTGACCCTTAATTACTTACTTATTTACTTACATCTTCTATAAATTCAGAATATTTACCTTCGTTCACAATGGTAAAGTGATTTCCCTGAAAAATAGTTTGGCCTAGGCTATTCTAGTTTGGCGTTAAATCGGGTTTATCTGCTAACATTAACATTATGAGAATCTTCAACCTTGTCTTCCTGATTAAGTTAATATTTTCTAGGGCAAGGTGTGTTCGCTCTAAGATTTGAATATTTCGCTGTGCATAATTTCTTAACTTGGACCCTTTTAAACCATTAATTAATACTACTTTAAAAGCATTGATCCCCATCTATTTTCCTCCAGTTGATCTTTCTTGACAGTGCAGTTTAGCCTAACAGCCCAGCTTGAAATTTTGAGCTCATGGCTTTATACACATCTGACCTCTGTTGAATTCTCATACTGGTTCTTTCGGCACAATAACTCACATCAAAATTCACATTAAAAATCACTCTCCTTGGTTTGTAAGGTGCTAACTGTGAAGAAGACTCTCATTTTCGTTACTTCTTGAAAAAGTCGAAGATTTAAAAATGTAATAAAAAGGGAAAATAAGAAAGGATTTGAAATATTCTTTGACATGAATTAGATTTTTAATCAGAAAGCAAACTGATGCATTACTACTATAGCATCAATAGTTTAGCATTCATTGTCACCACAACATGGGGTGCAGAAAATGCTGGTGCATGCAGGCCTCCATTCGCACATAGCTGAGGCAACCCCTGAGCGCAAGAGGAAATTTAACGATGAGGACTTTTTTCTTCTTTGTTTACAGCAAAAAAAAGAGAATAAACAGAAAAGGGCGCTGATTTTTGACATTATTTAATTCGATGCATACTTTTAACTTTTTTACAAAGAGAGGAAATTTTTCAAGAATAAGGAAGTTTTGAGGCTGATGTTGCAACAAATTTTTGCCCCGTAGAACTTCCTGCACGCCTGTTCGCAATGAATTATACTTCTAAAAATTACTCAAACGAAGATGAATGTGCAAATTGCAGATCCAGTTATTGAAGTTAGAAAAATTTTTAATACTAGAGCAGTGCCTATTTCTTGGCAAGGAACATCTAATACATCTTATGCTGATGCATTCACATTTATAGAGCTTGCTAACTGAGTGATGTGACTTAAGTCAGAATTAACTAGTTAGTTGGTTTAAGTAAGAGATAATCCACTCTTGTTTCTGAGCAGTGGCATTCCTTTAATATTGAGTATCGTGCTTATGCTGGATATTATTAAATTGAAATAGACAAGAGACAATTGGCCATATGCCCTTTGTTACAAATCCAAGTTATGATGGTTTCAAGTTATAGATTTCCAAAAAGTGGATGCATTTGATTGCCAACTTTCTACACCCCATACTAACTGAGATATTGCCAATAAAAAAAAACAGCTTATGACATAATCCACTATGGAGGTGCATACTTCCATTTCTTCCACCTGATTTTCATCCATATATTTTACGTCAAGCAACCAGTGCATATCGACGGTGAAAGTCGGCAATCACATAACTCGTTTGCGGTGTCTGAAAATCTCCACCTCTGCGTCATTTTTTTAAAGGAGAACAAATTGATATTATTTCTTGAAGTTTTTGCAGAATTTTCTTCGCATTGAGAAGAAAAATCACGACAGTTTTAAAGAATTGCCGTTGAGTAGTTTTCCATTTATAAAATAAAGTATGACAGGAAGTCTGCGACGTCGCAAACCGAGTTATGTGATTGCCGACTTTCACCGTCGATATGTGTGTGTCACTGATGAATGAAACAAGGTGGAAGAGACCATGGTATACCACCTAATGTGTGGAATGATGTCATGCACTGTGTTTTTCGATGAGTGATAGCCCCATCAATATTAGGCATTGAAACTGGGTATTTGAACAAATCTCATTATATTTTGCTAATCTAAGAGCTCAGGCAACCAAAAGACCATTCTGGAACTGAGTAGTGCAACTCACCCGTAACCTCAAGCTAGTTTCAAAATAAAAGTATAAAAAACTTATTTACGACTTCACCAAGCTGAACTTACAGAATTTAGAACCAATCCATATCCGTCTTTGATGATACCAAAGTTACTTTTGTCCAAAGCATAGACTCGAGCTTTTTCGTAATCTTTACCATCCAAAATCCCTTCAAGAATTTCTGGCCTCTTCAGGTGGGTTAGATAAACATTGCGCTAGAAAAAACAAATTCATTCAAATTACAAAAAGATTCGCTTAATTGTTGCCAATGACTAAAATTGTTTTAACTGAACATGTAATTTACAAATTTGCAAAGAAGTTCTAGTTGTTTTCCAAAACTTTGCCTTCCACATTGAGACTACCTGATGTTTGTATCAGTTCAGATTTGCCCTACTATTTGCGGGATAGTAGTGTTTGGAGAGTCTAAATTTATGGTTTAAATGATGGTTGCTCAGATACATTAAGTATACCTAAAAACTTCATGAATCCCATACCGTTTTGAATAGGGTTTTTCTATTCTGAGTTCTCGACTGTTCAGTTCTGCACTGAATGGTGTTTCAACTTAAGAGACATTATTGTGCCGATTGTTCAGCAATCCATCTTTCTGACTTCAAGTTTGGGAAAATTTTGTTCAATAGTTAAGTATAATGTACAGTAAATTTGATTGATCCAGTATGAAAATGACATAATTGACTACAAAGAAGTACTGTAAACAGAAAAACTCATGGCTTCCACTTGCAATGAATTTTCGTCAGATCAGTTTCGAAGTTACCCTCTCCTCTTCACTGAGATCACCAACCTGACTTCAGTCAGAGATCACTGGTGCCCCTGAACCAGTCATGTAAAAATTGGACCAAAGTGAAAGATTTTACAGAAAAGAACTGGCGTGATTTGGGAAAGATATGAGTGACCACTGAGTTTTCTGTAAGTACCACAAACAGGAAAATTCCCTTTTTTTAATTCATGTACGTAATTGACATACTAACTTTCTGACCAATTGAAAATCATAATATGTCCCAATCTACAGCGTCTTAGTTTGTATTGATGAAAGGGCAAATAATAGCTCCCGAACATAGAACAAAGAGGGAAAAACAGTCCTGCCTAAAGTACCTGCATAGCAAGAGTACAGACAGGTATGAAACTTCAAAAATCCATTATGCCTTCACGGATGTTCCGCTAACAACATTAGAGCCCAGAAGGGCAGCCAACCTATGAATTCAAATTATCAGGAAAGATTAATTCTCATAATTGTTACGACCCGTCATTTGCAAGGCACGTGCTTCAATTTTAGTTTTGGCATAAATTTGCTCATTTTAGCAGAAGAACCAATGTTCAAATCTCACAGGCACCAGCGCGCCCAAAAAATGAAGGCTTTGCGCCAGCATGGCCTCTAAAAATAGTCGTCCTTAAAAAAAATCATAATATTTCTGTTTGGTTATTTTCTGAAATTTCGATGCACAGCACCGGATTCTAACTTTCCCCTATATGCACAGTGGTCTATAGGCAAGAAGTCAATTTGGCCCCTGAAAATCAAGATTGATGGGCCACGTTGCTCCTGAAACTCAAATGTGAGTTTTTCGAACACTGGGAAGAACGCACATTTAAGTATGAACATTCTTGGCCGTCTTGGTTTAAGTTGAAATCTGAAGATTGGCAGCGAAATTTTATGAGATGAGGGGCTGACTACCCTTTTCAGCCCTAAGCCCTCTATGAAGCGAGCTGTCTATTCTCTTGATATACTGATACTCTAGTCCTGGCAAGCCTGCGTTAAACCTCTCTCTTTGAGAACAGTGCCTCAAGTTTACATCCACAATATGTGAACCAATCTTGGCTGACCTTTCTCAAGGAAGTGACGCTCCTTTGAACCTTCTTCCGGGCAGAAACTTACTCTGCAGATTCAAATCAAACAAACTGATCACCTTAGTGAGGAACAGGATGAAACTGTTTGCCTTACCTGTCTCAACGATAGATATAAATCCCAAAGGTACTCTATCCACATAAAGGACACTATCCCCCAAAATATGTAATCTTCCATCTTCATCATATCGTGTGGCCATATAACCTTAAAACGGTAGTAAAACCAACCAATAAGTTTTCCACTGAAAGCACGAATTTAAGTACTGAAAGTCTTATCAATGAATCAATTCTGCTGGTCGGCATTCGACACCAGAAGAATGTATACACAGACAGCCAGGTGCGCGGAGCGGACAGCACTGGGGGGAGGGGAGGAGACCGAGAGTTGGTTGATGGCGAAGGTTGATGGTTGGTGAGCAAACCCCACATGAAAAAATACCGCTCTCGCGCGGGAGAATTTAAATTAAAAGATCTCGAAGCTCCTTGTCAGCTACGTCAGCCCTGCTCTTTTTCTGGAAAATCGCCGAGAGGGCGATTGGACACTTGTCTCTGGATTGGACCTATACCTACCCACTTACTTTACATCATAGAATAACAGCTGTTATTCTATGTCTACATGTATTAGGCAATGAAGCGTTTCAACATAAAATCCATTGTTCATTGAAAATAAGTTTTTCAGAATATTCTGAGTACATTCATTGCGCAGCCTGGCACCAAAGGCGTCTGATAACTTTAGAAAAGCGACAGGAGATTTTCGACTTGACTCTCGAAAAATAAAATAAATGTAAAAGAGAAGCTAATTATAAGAGTCTTTTGATGTAAATTTTCTATGGATCAACCAACTTAGTACTGGCTGTAGAAATCAATAAATTGCTCAAATTTTTTCTTCTATTAATCAGTGTTTATGATGTTTATGATAGAAGAAGGAAAAAACATGTCACAGATTGCAAAGTTGCATATCCGCTTATATTTTATTTTTAGATTGGAAATGAGGAATGACTAACCAACGGAAGGAAAAAAGGCATCTACCAACATTTCTTGCTCTCGCAAAAAGCGCTGAAAATTCCAGCACTGAATTTTCACTACTTTTTGTTAAATGCTTGAAATTGATTAAAATCTATGTTTCACAGCATTTCATTCGCGAATTAAAAATACAAAATCGTACCAAACCTCGATTGCTCCTGGAGAGATGATTTTTAAAAAATTTCTGATCACCGAAAACAGTAAACATCTGTTGTTTTGTTTCAAGCTAAGTGTACCTACATACAGAAGACGACTGTTCATGAATTTGAGAGGTACTTATTGTTAGATCTTAAAATGATTTGGTCTAGACATCAGATTTTGCAGCACAAGTCCTGCAAATGGCAGATCTGAAATGATAGTAGCTTAGAGCAGAGGGGTCTTAGATAATTTTTTTCAAAGTTAAAATGACTGTCTAGTGCCCTAATGTTACGAATGCAATCAGCAATTTCTTAAGTTTTGCATCTCATTTTAAAAACCGCAATTAAATTTTTTCAAGCATAAAGCAGGTTCTTCACAACATATTGAAAAATTACATGCCAGATTTTTCCAAAAACGTTGGTTACGGCCGTTTCACTCTGAGGCATCCAGTTTGAGGGAGTAAAAAATTTAAATAGCATACCTATTCTTCAAAGGCTAAATTTAATTCTGCTTTAAAGACTTTCGATATGAGGTCCTGCAAAAAATAAGTTTACTTAGTCAATATATTCTGAATTGAGATAGGTGGAGCATATCTCTAAAAAACATTGAGAAGTCACTATTTCATTAGGTACTCTCAGTATTTTCGAGCAATGTAGAAATTTAGATAGATCTTTTAATAAAACTAGAAAAACAACAGTTAACGGAATAGTTGGCATTCACTCAAGCTGCTGACTGGATTGTTCATAATATTCTACATTATCCTAACCACTCGTGAGAAAATTCCACCAAAAATGTGATGGAAAAAATATGCAGCCTTTGAACATCTTTAAGTACGGTAATGTGAAAGATCGGGAATTTGAGAGGCTGTAGTCACCTTTCTGAGTGAAAGAACCAATTACAGAGCGCAATTCGCACAATATACAAAATTTTGAGGTGTATAACTCCACAACTAGACCAAATGTGACTCTTCCTTTTCATATATGTATTGCAATTCAGATCCACAAATTATCAAAGTTAACAGGATCAATCTTGCATTCTTCTAGCTGATAAATATTTTACCTAATGTTTCAGATTAGATTCAACAACCATTAAGTCAATATCTCCCGATAAGCAATAGATGCAGCAGCTCACTTGCCGATGGCATTCCTTGAAATTTTAGACCTGTTGGGAGAGGATAGGGCTATGATCAGACAAACCCACTTTTATGGACTTCCATTGGAACAAGATTAAACTTCTATGATGTGCTTTGAGGCTGAAAGTAGTGCCTTAAAATGTTTAGTAGAGGTGCTTTTTGTCTTCCTTAGTTTAGAAGATATAAAAGAGGTAAAGTTATTTCCTGGAAGATCCGTGTGCGCACAGATCATCCACAAAATGCAAAGTAAAACTTATATGTCCTTACAATTAAATGAAACATCCCTCATTTTGATAACTCCAGCAAATGAAGTTTGCGACACTGTTAACTTGATTCGAATTGAATTCAAAGTGGTCACATTACAGTAGCTAATAGGGGACCTCCAGGATGCTTAGCCGCACAACCGGAGGCAAACTTATGGAACTATTAGAATGAAGAGTCTCAACTTTTTTTGCGGTAATATTTATTCATTTTCATTACATGAATTATTAAAATTTGTAATTCCTACTTGTGAAACCGACTTTTTTACTCAGTGATGAAAATGCGCAAAACATGACTGTAAGCCCAACCGCCCACCACACTTTTACTAGGTACGAAAGCATGGTTGAGAAATAGGCATAGCTAGATAAAGGCTTCCAGGACGTGATCTTGCTCCCACTTGTGCAAAATTTATACCTGGAAAAATCTTTGCTGAAGAGCTTTGAAAGAATTTTCATGAAGAATGAAATGAAAATTTACATATACATACTTTTGGAATGAGTAGGTATAAGATAGCTCAATTTTTCGGAAAATTTCCTGGCAGAGACCCTTTCTTCAATCGGTGGGGAAAACTCCCTCTCACTTCATAGGAAAGACCAATAATTTTCATTCCATGATACTGATTAAAATTTGGAATTGGATACATAAAAACATTGACAAGAACAGTTTTTCTTCTTTTTACAAAATACTCCGTACAGACCTCAAATTTGTACCCCCACCCTTCCCCGAGAAAATTGTCTAGCTACGCCTTGGCGGATTTCAGAATGCTGATGGGTCTCTACCACAAATCCATCCCAGAGAATCTACCATCTTGAATGCTTCCTCCTTACATCTTACACGAAATATTTACAGACTATCAACTTTTCTGCAAGACTGAGAACAAGCTTTATGTTCATAAAATTAAACAGGCCTGAATTTAGAAGAGAAACTAAATGGACTGCGTAGCCTGGGGGCAGCAAAATTTTGGAAGGCACATATTATTGGGTGGCAGATTTTTGTACGACCAAAACAAACAGAATAAGTTACTTACTCACTAGTTACAAAATCAGTGATCCATTTACTGCTGGTTTTATTTTGGAACAAAACCAGCAACAAATGAAAACCAGCAAATCATGCTTTCATCACCGTATTTTTAGAGGCTGTAAGGAAAATAAAAGGAGAGAAACAGTTATCCCTCCAAACATTGTCAGCCATTTTTTAATAAGATAAAGCCCCTAAGCAGCAGTTTGCTAAATCTAAGCCTGCTCATGCGCTTATAAGTAAAACTTAAGAACAAAACTAAGTTTACACATTCAAAGATTAAATTCAAAGAAAGGTACATCACATCAATAAATGCAGATCTTCAGTTCTCATTAGTTAATGAAACGCTTTCAAAAGAGAAAGTCTAACACCGCACCAACATCGGAAAAATTCAAGATATGAATGACAGATTCAACTTCCTTTTAGAAGATAGTAATCCATTACATTTTAAAGTAATAGAACTTCGAACAACAGGGGGGAGCAAAATATTTATTTGCAACCACATCTTTGAAATGAGGCATAAAAGCTCAAAAGAGCACCACTTAACTACTACTTGTGTGTTTTTCCTGTTTCAGGATGAAATCCTGATAATTTGTAGGAACATGCAGTGTAACTAGCAGCGGCTATACCTGTTCCACCAATATTGAATCTGCTCAATTAGGTTTTCTTGTTGCTCAGTCTCTAATTAGGGTTTTGAGTCTCAGTTTGGACTAGATTACATAATTTAGATTGTATTTTGACCATTAGAAAATTTGTGTAGATGATGACGAACATTATGTGTGAATTACTTCTGACCATAACTCAGAGGAATAATGACGGTCATGTGTTATAAAGTAAAAATATGTTTTTCAGTGCTTAACACAATCCATTACTAAAAAATTGAGATTACTTGACATCATACTTTTAAGACTTTTGTATAATAATTCATTCTAGTCAAGTAATTCACAGTCGTTGGTAATTATCGTCATGTTGAAATAATAAATATGCATGTACCACTGATATTTTCGACACCGGAAAAATTCTGCTGCTTGGTACCAAAAAATTAAAAGATGAAACCACTGCAATTTTCAATATCAAAATAAATGAGAAGACCTGTAGAGAGGCCACTTAAATATGTCTTTTTATCAACAGCTTGCAATGATTTTGTACAGTAATTTTGATTGTTTCATTTCAGGTATTTTTAAGTTAAGTCTGAGGTTTCGATCTTATCGTTAGTTAAAAATGAGAGAGAAAATAGTGCTCAAATGATGTCTCTAATCTTTGATCTACTTCAGAATTCTAGCAGATAAAGCAAGTTCGAGGACTAGACTGGCTGTCTTTTTCTTAGAAAAATATAAACATGTTATTAACCAGCAAGAAAAAACTGCAGAACAAAAAAGATAACGATTCACAAAGAATGAATGTACAATGTACAGAAAATCATTGGACTGCTTGGTGAGCAATGGGCTGGAAAGCTGAGTACAAAAAGTTTTGACACATGGCTGTGACTCAGTTTTTATCACCACACAATGTTAAAATACTTGATTAGTGCATCGCTCACAGCATCAAACATCGCAACAAATAGAGAACGTGAAGTTCTAAAACAAGGTAAAAGTCTTTTAGTAACCAAGATCAACATTTTCCTGTGAGAGATAGGTGAAATTAGAAGTGTCTGCTGTTTCAAAACTAACCTACGCCAAACCAGAAGAATTTTGAGCCTCAGCTCATAAACAAAGAGTGACATGCTTCTTGATTTACAGGAATACAAATTAAATGAGTGTATGTTGAAAAAAACAAGTATAAAATGTGAGCAAAAATATTGATAAAAATAGAAAATTAAAAAATTCAGTTAGGCGTGAAGAAAATGAATTAAAATACAAGTGTACAGATGAGTTCTTGTCTCCCCTTAGAGAGTGTGATAACTTTGATTTGTGCGAGCCATGTAAAATTTATAGGATACGAATCCTATGGCGAGCAGGCCAATCGTGAGAACAATACCACCTGAAACAAAATAAAATTATATAAAAATAGAATTCAAGCAGAATAGAATCAATAATGAAATAAAGGGAAACTTTGTACTTAAGTTATGTTGCCACCATTATTTGGGGCCGTCACAAATGGGGCTTTACAAGCTTTACAGAGAGGGCCCTGCAATAGAGCAACCAAGAAATTCGGCACCTGCAAAATTTCACCATTTTTTGACATGATGTTCTTTGCAATCATCTGAGTATGATGAACTTCTAAAGGAAAACTTAATGAGTGTCCATGTCAAGGAAAGCGAGGCTGAAAAATTAATTTTTTGGCCTTCCTACACACATTTTCGAAAGGAGATATGAGATGGATGCTATGTGCGCATAGAAGCTGCGGCCCATGCTTTAATAATTCAGAGGAATTTGATTCTTTTTCTATATCTTACCTTCCCGACTGAAAAAGAGACAGAAACTCTCTTCAATCGTCAGTTAGAAGTTTGAACATTTCTACTAGATGTTGCATGTAAAAATACTGGAAAATCCTCTTTCCAGTCCTGATTTTTTTGAAATTGGTATCAAAAAATCCAACTTGTAAAGCTTATTTGGCCCAGGAAGTTGCACAGAGCATAATTAAAAATAATGCATATTTTTCCAGCACAGAATCATTTCATTTTCCGTGCAGATTCCTTTGTATTCTGCGGCTTGCTACTAACACTTTAACAGTAGGAGCCACTGGCAGTTTTCGAATTCGACAGGCACCATGTGCAAAATGCTCCTGTATATATTTCATCAGCGCCTAAATAAATAAAATCGTGACTAAAGTTGGTGCCTTAGTATTCAGTTAGTTAGCTATAAAAACAATAGGGCCCAGACAAACTGTTTTAATGGACACTGACGTCTTTAAGAGAGCCCTTAAAAAAGATTCAAGGGGGTAAAAGAAAACCATGAGAATAAGTGATCAGGTGGAAAAAGCCCAATTCCAAGGAACCAAAAGACGTTCATTCTCATCAGAAAGTAAAGAGGAAAAAACCATTTTAGCCTTTGAAAAAGCCTAATAGTCAAGGTTGGCCTTAATTCTCCCAGCCCAAAAACCCCGCCGGGTTTTTTTTTGTGGAAAACCCACTTAAAAAAACTTGGTTGAAAACACTCACTAAAAAAAATCCCGTAGTAAAACCTGGAAAACCCCTTAAAAAACCTACATGGACGAAACAATGTTGATTAAGAACAATAAAAGGTATAGATTGATTTAGGGGCTACGTCATTTGATATAACATCAAACCCTTGATTCAAATGTAAACTAATTCAGAACCTTGTTTCTGATCGCGCCACAGTGGTAAAATTCGTCCTGGTGTTTCTTCCAATCAAAATTTCTCTTGTTTAATTGATTTGTGATTGGTCAATGACTAAACTTGATGGTTCATTCAATTAACACAATTAACTCATGACGAATCCGTACATGAGGTTATTTTAGTTTGAACCAAGAGTTCGATATTATATCCAATGACGTAGTCACTAAATCAGTCTATTAGAGGTAGAAAATAAGAAATCCATTTCATTTGTTTTTCCTTGTGTGGAATTGACCATAAATTATGTCATGCAAAATGTAGGCCCCCCTCTCCAAAGAAGAAAATTCTTAAAAAGCCCCATGATCAATGGCTAATTTTTTGGTAACACCCATCATACAGATCTGAGCAACCACCCCCCTTTAAATGATTCGGTCACTTTATACCTGATAACACTCCCCCTTTTGTAAAACAGTTTACTTATTTTATCAATGTTTCAATTGAACCAAGACTGTGGAAAAATTTACAGACAGCCGGCACATTACGCACACTTTTGATTGATGTGTCCCTATTCTAGACCCATCTCCTACCTATAAGAAGTGTACCCATTTACTCTTCTCAGTACATGTAATTTGTAACAGTCCTCAACAACCCCCCCCCCCCCCCCCAACCCGAGCATCAGTTTCATCATTTTAGTCTTTTTTAGTGTACTAGTTGGTTCACAGGTTTTCTACTCAAATTTCCAATATGCCTTAATTGCACAAAAAACCCATAAAACTCCCAAAAAACTCCATTTCACCCCCAGGTAGAGGCTTTCTTGAAAAAACCCCAGTTTTTTCCAACCCTGCTAATGGTCCCTAAATACTGATCAAGCTAAGATTGGCCTGAAAAATTCTCCAGAAGATTCCAAAACTTGCCACCAGTGACCACAGCAGTACTTGTTATCACAGAGATGTATAATTTAATTACCATGATTCTTCACAATACAAGTAACAATGAACTAAGAAAGGCTGTTGAAAGCAGGCTGAAGATCTCTTGTTGATTCTACCATTTCTGAATTAAGAAAAGAATTTTAGCATCCTCAAGGATGATTGTCTTACTAAAGTAATTACAGAAAGTCCACAGAATATGATTAGCAGAGCATCAAAATCAGCTGGATCTTTTTCGTAGCCAAAGTGCATTTCTTGTCCCACCTTTCTCACCATTAATTACCCTTCCTTTCAAGGTATATCAAGTCAACATTTCTGATGGAAAAAATTGGTTTAAAGGACAGTTCAATCTAAGGAAATTGGTCATAACAGATTATAGGCAGAGGATTTCTCCGCTGATGTAAGATTGTTATTAAACAGCTGAACAGAAAAGGTAAATTCTCAGAATCTACCTGCCATAAATCAGGTAAGTTTTAGTATTAGTCTCTTTGCACTTTGCAAAAATTTATTATAATTGTCATCCTATTACTGGACACTACTTACCAATGAAACTTGGACCATCAAATTTCCGGTTCTCCGGAGCTGGTGTGGGTTTAGGAGTTGTAGGTGCTGGCGATGGATGAGGAGTTGTAGGTGCTGGCGAGGGACGAGGAGTTGTAGGTGCTGGCGAGGGATGAGGAGTTGGAGTAGATGATGTTGTTGGAGCTACCGTTGTTGAGTTTGGAGCTGGTGTGGTTGTTGTTGTGGGCTTAGCGGTCGTTGTTGTCTTAGGGGAAGGTGTTGTTGTTGGTGGTGTTGCTGGTGTTGTATCATTTTTTGTTGGCTCTGGTTGATTACGGACTGAAACAATGCAAAACACACTATGAATTACAGGAACACAATAAATGAGAAATTGCACTTCTCTAGACATTTTTCTTTGAAGAAACAAAAATTTTCCAATAATTACATTTGCAACTGTTTGCTTGCTTTGAGCTTCTTCGTAACCATACTAGTATCTATACTCATCTTCCACTGATCGTATTCAGTGTCAGTAACAAAATACTTGGCTTGACTCATGCTCTGCATGTGGCATAAGATCAGAGAGGAGAGTACCTTTGAAAATTGATTGATATTTTTTCCTTTTCTGATAGACACCGCAACTTTGAAATTAAAAGTTTATTCCTCCTTCTTTCCCGACACATTTTCTATTCGTCTACCTTCCTTGTCTGCTGATGATAGTGTCATCTTAAACATTCACTCCTCCTCATCACTATGAAGAATCTTTTCTCTACCCCTTGTCACTTCATTCTTATCTCGCGAGTCGTCTTGGTCGTCTTACATGCACAAACAGTGTGTATGGATAATCTGAACTAAACGGTTGTCCTCTAACAGTTTATATCCACATCATTACACTATCTTTTACTTCTCTGATTACACATATTTTTTCTGTACCTGCACTTTGTTTTGTCCCCTTTCCCTCACCTTACCTCCAATCACTTGATAAGCATCAGTAAATTGATATTTCTGAACAAATATGGCATTGTTTTGATAATAATTTATCAAGAGCTAATAATCAACAATTCAATACTAATTACCAGTGACACTCTCTAACCTAATGCGCGCAGGGGTTGATAATAATGATCACGCATGAGCTGAGCTGCAAAACTTGTTGTAATCCCGCAAAAATTTGGAAAGGAATAAGCATCAATTAAGCCCGTTTTACTACCATTTTAGAATTTTCCTCCCACCACCTGACCGAAAATCCTGACTACTGAAAAAAAAGCCCATCATCACTGTTTGTGCTAGCTCTATATCAGCTTGCGCGAAATTGTGGAAAGCAGGGAATTTTAATTACATTAATACTGTAACATGGAATAAGGGCACTACATGAAGCAGCGCCTTTACTCATTGATGACAATTAAATTATGTAAATCTTCCCCGATGATCTCTTGCTAATGAATTGTTTGCATTTCTTGCATTATATGCTTCAACGAGTTGGAGGGCTGAAAATTCAGTCACGTTACTATGACTTTCTGGAGTAATTAGTAATTTTGGTGGGCTGTAAATCTATGAGATGTACTTTCAATGCAAAAAATTAATGATCCATTGGGCGATAAGAAAATAACTCACTATTTGAGTTAGATTATCAAAATCTATAAAAGGGAGCCATAGGGCGTGTCATAGAAGAAGAGACCTGACAATCTTACATGGGAATACAAAATAGTCTTTGAGAGTAGGTAAGAACAGATATCATTTATACAGAGTGCATAATCACATTTTTAAAATGAAATTAGGGATAGACGATTATCGTATTGGATTGTTCGAAACTTTTCGAAAGCGATTATTACGGTTATTGCAAGAATTCCAATCTTGTGATTTCAAATCCTTGGGAAGCGAATATTCAAATATTTTCAATTATTGCTTCCATTTTTTATTTTTTTTGGAATCGTGGAACGTGGTGCGGTTATTGATACAAATAAATGACACTTTTAACTAAGACGGTCAGTCATTCCCGTGAGGAGTTGTGGACGATATTTAATTAATAACGAGATTGACGATAGGGATGGACGGTTATCGAATTCGAATGCGGTTATTCGAATCTAGCGATTTCGAATACTTCGGAAGCAAATATTCCAATGTTATGGGATTATCTTGGTGCCGATAATTCAAACATCGTATTTGATTATCTAAATATTCGACGATCCCTAAATGAAATCAGACTTAAGAATTAATCATACGCAGCACAATGAGACATGTTCTAGAAATTTCTAGATTTTCTGAACCCTTTCCAGATAAATAAACGTGTTCCTCTCTGTAGACAAGAGAGATGCAATAATACGACATAAAATAATGATTGAATGTGAATTAAGGATAAGGATGCATGGGTACAAGAATAAGCGAGTATGCTGATAGAGAAATGCATTGCAGGCTGCAGGTGGTATAGGAGATCTCAGCACCGCAGCAATAGAGATTCGGACAAGAACACTATCTGCTTGAGGCTCCAAAATTGAGAACGAATATTGCATGCAAAAGGATTCTGTAGACAGCTTCTTGAAACGGCGGGTAAATGAGGCATTGAATTGAGGTTGAGGATGAGGTTTGAGGAGAGATGACATAATATCATGGACCTTACTTGCATCTGCCACAGCACTGATAGATATCAGTAGGGCGAGGAGAAGGACAAATACACCGGATGGGATTTGTAGATTCATTTCGACGAGGAAATAAGAAATAACACTAGAACAAAATTAGAATCTGCTAGTTCGCAAGCTTCACACTTCAATATAGATGCAAATTACAAATCGACTTTCAAGGTGATGAAAGAGTCAAAATCTCAAATTGCATGTGTGTGCCCTGGGAACTCGATCACGATACGTGATACGTGCAGAAGCAGATTCAACTCGCCGATTTTTCCGAAGTCGGTGACGGTAGCCGGTAGCCATTTTGATAATAGAGTAGACCAATGAAAAATCGATGTTATCATTTTCTCAGAGCGGTAAATTTAAACAAGCCAATCAACTATGACGCTGACTATGACCTCATCCAAAAGCTGGCGTAAAAAGGACTAAGTGACGTTGTGCCACTACTGAGTAGGGCTGCGTTCCAGAATTCATCTTTTTGATGGATCGTCCATCAGAAGCATAGTAGAACATGGCGTCATGCTGACGTAACCGATGGAGTCTGATGGAAAGTCAGATGACGTATCATCGATTGATCCCAAAAACGCTTGATTGAGCGTTTTTGCAGGCAAAGACCCCCTACGAATGAGCAGGCGATCACAGAGCGGGAGTAGCTGGTGGAGCGTGCATGAAGCTCGCTCGGACTCCATGATTATACTCTGTTGCTCTCTCCTCCCCTCTACTCTTTGCACATCACATAATGACGCCAAGCACAAATTTCACTCTCGGAGAAAAATTAAACTGCTCAGCTCAGGGAATTGACCTTTTTGATCGGGATTAAATTTCTAAAAGAGTTCAAACCAAGTACTAACCAGGGCAATTCTCAAAATTCTTTGGCAAGACATTTTTCTGATATAATTTAAGGATTACCTAAGGAGGGAAAATCTTTAGCATATCTGGAGAAATCACAAGCTTGTGTGGGGGCCCGCAGCGTTCTGAGGCATTGAAATCAAATTCTAAACGTACCTACTTACATTTTGAATTTTGATGGAAAATAAGGGGGGGAGGGGCTTCATTTATATCTGAGCCATGGGGATGCCAGATGATGAGGGATGAGTTTGAGGATTTTTGCGCTCAGCAGAGATGTTTTCAGGAGCATTGGGGGAACTAGTTAGGAGGAGGGGGG